TGGGGAGGGGAGACTTTTGGGCATCTGTCCCAAAGTCACACTGGCACAATTATGAAATAAGAAAAATATCAACCACAAAACTATCCTTAATAGCAAAAAACTATTAGCATACTGGCCGGTGTTGCTCAGTGGTTAGAGCGTCGGCCTTCAGACCAGAGAGTCTCAGGTTCGGTTCCCACTGAGGGCACGTACCTCAGTTGCAGTTTGTCCCCAGCCCCATCTGGGGTCGTGTGGGTGGCAACCAGTCAATGTCTCTCTCTCATGTTGATATTTCTCTCTCTTCCTCTCTCTCTCCCTCCTGCTCTATCTGAAGATAAGTGTAAAAATGTCCTCAAGTGAGGATAAAAAAATAAATTAAAAAAAAACTATTAGCAACCCAAGTATTCTCAATTAAGTAGATTGGCTGAAAAACTATGATATATTCACACAATAAAATACTACCCAACTGTACACAGGAATGAGGAAAATCTCCATATACTAATAAATGGTGGGCTCTAGCATACATTAAGTGAAAACATGCGAAGAGGAAGACAATGTTTACTGTATGCTCCCTTTTTACAAGAGAGGAAATTATGTATATTTGTTAGAAGAAAAAAAAAACAAACTGAAAAGACAAACCAAAAAGTGGAAGAGAAAGCAAATGATTGAAAATACTTTGGTGGGCCCTGGCTGCGTGAGTTCGGTTGGTTGGAGTGTCCTTCCGTACACCAAAGGTTGTAGGTTTGATCACTGGTCCGGAAATGTAAGGGAGGCAACCGATCAATGTTTCCCTTTGTTTCTCTCTCTCTCCTTCCCTCCCTCCCTCCCTCTCTCTAAAATCAATAAAAAATATATGCTTGGGTGAGGATAAAAGAAATAAAAAATGAAAACACTTTGATGGATCTCAGTGTTAACATCCTCATAAAAAGATGTCCATGACAGCCCTGGCCGGTTTGGCTCAGTGGTTGGAACGACGGACTGTAGACTAGAGTCCTGGGTTTGGTTCCCGCTAGGGGCACGTACCAAAAAAAAAAGTCCATGACAGCTTGTTGTATCACAGGATATGTGTGATTCAATAAATTTTTGTCTAGTTTGTGTATGTATACACAGAATGACCTGAGTCAGTTTCCTCTTCTGTGTCTTTACCTCCCAGGACTACCCTAGTAAACATGAGATAAACACAGCTGCTACTTTTATGTACACAGGAAAAGATCTGAAGTGTGTTAATAAAAATTTGAGGAAGGTGAAAAAGATGCATCTTTTATTTATTTATTTTACTTTTAAATGTTTTATTGATTTTTAGACAGTTAGGGAGAGGGAGAGACAGAAACATCGATGAGAGAGAAACATTGATCAGCTGCCTCCTGCAACCCAAGCATGTGCCCTGACCGGGAATCCAACCCGTGATCTCATGGTGCGTGGCACATCGCTCAACCACCGAGCGTCACTCATTCAGTCACTCGCTCATTCATATATACATGTATGTATGTTTTAATCCTCACCTGAGGATATTTTTCCATTTATTTTCAGAAGAAGTGGGAGGGAGGGAGAGAGAAATATAGATGAGCCTTGGTCAGTGTGGCTCAGTGGTTCAGCGTTGACCCATGCACCAAGAGGCCACCAGTTCGATTCCCGGTCAGGGCACATGCCCAGGTTGTGGGCCGGATCCCCAGTGGGGGAATCGAACAGACTGGGAATCAAACTGGCAACCTCTTGGTGCATGGGTCGATCCTCAACCACTGAGCCACACTGGCCGGGCACAAGATTCATCTTTTTAAAGGAATACATGCGCCCGCGGACCAAAGAGTGTTGGGTTCAATTCCCAGTCAAGGGCACATACCTTGGTTGCAGGTTGATCCCTGCCCTGATATGTCTCTTGCACATCGATGCCTCTGTCTGTCTGTTTCTCCCTCCCTCCCACTCTCTCTGAAAATGGAAAAATATCTTCAGGTGAGGATTAAAAAAAGAAATAAATAAAAGGAACATATACACTGTACACAGGTATCTGCTGAATGAATGATTAGCCAACAGCCTCCTTCCTAGTCTCCCTTCCACCTGTCACTCCCACATCTTGCTTTGAGTCAAAGCCAACATCTTCACCAAGGCCTCCAAGACCTTATACGATCTGGTCCCTTCTACCTCTGCCTTCATTTCCCTCATCGTTTTCTCCTCCAGCAGCTGTGGCCTCCTTGTTGTCCCTTGAATGTGCCAAGCATGCCCCTTCCTAAAAACCTTTGTGCTTTTCTTCCTTCTACCTGGAATACTCCTCCCCTACAGACAGTGGCACATCTCCCTCCCTCCTCATTTCCTTCAGGCTTCAGCAGAAAGAAATATCTTGGCAGTGAGGTCTTCCCTGACCACCCGATTTCAAGTTTTAATTTCCTCTCCCTCCCCATCTATGTTGCTTTATTCTTCTCCATGGCATTTATTATCATCAACAAGCTACCTATTTGTACGCTCTCTGAGTCACACTGGCCAGAGCAGGTAGGTACTATTTTTAATCTCCATTTTACAGCTAAGGACATTTGAAAGCCAGGGAGGTAAAGTCCCTTGACCGAAGGCCCACAGTTTGCAAGATGCAGACCGAGCAGTAAAGCTGCTGAATCTATCCCTCTCACCACTGTGCTGTACTACCTCTTTGAAAGGAATTGCTTCTCCACCCCAGGTCTGCTCATGGAAGCCAAGGGGCATGGCCTTCTAACGACCAGCATACTGCTGTCTCCCATTAGAACGTAATGAACCTTTTCATGATGAACCTTTCCACTCTTTTCATGATAATACGTTCAAATCCACCAAATTTGTTTACACGTGTCCTTCCTCTTCCACTTTTTGGTTTAGCCTTTTAAAAAAATGTATATACAGCCCTGGCTGGTTTGACTCAGCAGTTAGAGCATCGGCCCGCAGACCAGAGGGGCCCGGGTTCGGTTTCTGCTAGGGGCACATACCTCCCCGGGCCCGGCTGGGGTTGTGTGGATGGCAACCAGTCGATGTGTCTTTCTCACATCTATGTTTCTCTCTCTTTCTCCCTCCCGCTCTATCTGAAGATGAATGCAAAAATGTCCTCAGGTGAGGATTAAAAAAAAAAAATGTATATACCTATTTCCTTTTTTTTTATAAAAAGGGAGTATATAATAAACACTGTCTTCCTTTTCATTTTCTGTCACTTAATATATGCTGGAGCCCACTCTCTACATCAACGTATAAAGATTTTCCTTGTTCCTTTTTATAGTTGCATAGTATTTTATTATGTGGATGTTACCGGGTTTTTTTCTGCCAGTCTTCCTATTAAAGAACATTGGAGGTGTTTGTAGTCTTTTGCTGTTACCAACAACCAGTTTCCCCATCCTTCCAGATGTACTCCTTATGGATTACCACTGCCACTCCCGCCTGGGAGTATGACGACTCCGCTCACATACAGCAGTGGTCCCAGGAGTATCCTCCATTCATTCAACAAACAGGAACTGGGTGTCTTCAGTGCCGCCAGCGCTGCGCTGGGAACACAGCAGTGACAACACATACCCAGTCCCTGCCCCCACGGGACTCACGATATTTGATTATTCAAAGAGCCAAACAAATAAAGGTCCAAAAACAAATTTTTAGACCACACGTGACACAAAGAACAGAAACAGGGACCTAGGAGCGTGTTTAACAGGCGGATTTCGGGCCGGAGGGCAGGAAAGGAGGGTTTCGCAGAGGAAGTGACGTTGCTGCCGAGACCCCAAAGATGAATGGGAGTTCGCCAAGCGGAACGGGTAAAAGGATGTTGCGAACAGAGGGGCAGCATGTGCAAAATTCCTGAGGCCGAAAGGCGCATGGCGAGTTTGAGGAACCCAAAGGCCAGTGCAGCTGTTCGAAGTGAGAAATGAGCAGAGGCAGAGCCAAGGCGGGAGGGGGCAGACGCGCCTCGGGGGCCACGTTGGAACTTTGCCCCGAAGGCACTAGGGAACCACGGAAGTGTCCCGAGGAGGGGAAGAAGCTGGGGTCTCAAACGCCAGTGCTTCCATCTCTTCGAAGCGTCCCCAGACCTCTGCCAGCGCCCCTGCCGCCTCAGGGTCCCTCCTCCCTTGGTCCCTGGGCCCCCACGCCAATCGCGCTCACCGGTGCTCCGGCCTCCGACCCGTGGCGCACCCTCAGCAGCACCTCTTCACAGACACCGCCACCGCCATCTTCCGCTCGCCGCCCGGACACAGCGCACGCGTCGCACGCGCGGGGCCGCCGGGAAATGGAGTCCACGCGGCAGGCCGAACCCAGCCCGACCAGCCGCACGAGCAGCCTTCCGACCTCCCCCAGAAGACTCCGGGAGGCTCTTCGTTTCCGGCCCTCGAACGTCGTGCCTTCTGGGAAGTGTAGTCCCGTGGCAGAGGCGCGGGCCGCAGGGAGGACAGAGGATTCTGGGAAATGGAGTTCGCAGGGCTTCTGAGTCCCTGGACGGCTGGCGTTAGGGAGCGTGGAGTCCGGGTTGCGAAGCTCCTGGGTCTTGGAGGTGGTCTGGGGCCCCAGTGGGGTATGAGCAGAGACCCCGATCCCCTCCACCTTTGGTCCTGACCATTTGCACCGTTCGGAGCAATTCCAGCTGTCGGAAGCTTCCATATTCCAGTTCGTCCGAAGGGAATGTGGTTTCGAGGGTCTCTTACCGGTCTTTAGAGCGGCACGTCTGGACCCCCGGAGTCCACCGCGCTCTGGGGCCCCTTTTCTCCACGGCGGTTATGCTGAATTCCGGCTGTTCGCCCACTCCGGTCGAGATGTTGAAACCCTCTGGGGTAGAAGGGCCCCAGAGTTCTGCCCTCGGGGCCTGTATGAGCAGCAGCGCCTCTGCCAGTGGCTCCCTCACTCTTCAGCCACGTCCAGCTCTCGGGAGCGTCCCTGGGCTGCGGCTCCCGGCGCCTGAGGTCTATCTCCTCGCAATCCCGCAGGGGGCGCCCCAGCCCGAGCGCGGGAGGGCAGCTCGGGGAGGGCGGGGGCGGGGGGGCGCCCCGGCTATAAAGCTTGGCCGCCTCCCGCGGCGCCCAGGACGGCGGGGACCTGGGCAGTCGGACGGGCGGGTGCCGGTCGGAACTCGGGCCGTGCGGGCTGAGAGATCCGAAGCGCTTGGTTCCCCCCCGGGCCGGAGCGGGGGCAGGTGGGGGCGCAGGCCCGGGGGATGCTGGGCTCGGTGAAGATGGAGGCCCATGACCTGGCGGAGTGGAGCTACTACCCGGAGGCGGGCGAGGTGTGTCCGCGGGGATGGCGGAGCGGGAAGTGGGGGACAGGAATCAAGGTGCGGGCTTAAATGGGGGCGAGGACCGGGGTGTGGGCTCGAATGGGGGCCCCAGCTACAGTTGAGGAGTGGAGGAAATAGAGACACGGAGACCAGGTGTAAGAGTCAGGGTCCGGGGACAGGCACCGGAGCGCGGTTGCCACAGGCTAGAGGGAGTGAGGTCTAAATGGGAGTCAGGAAAACTTAGGCGAGGGTCAGGTCACAGCTTAAACGTGAGGGCTGGATGTTGGCGACCCCAAATGCAAGGGAGCAGAATTAAACCAAAGCTAGGAATCAGATCTCTGGGATAACAGGATAGGGGCAGAGCTGGGGAATTAGGAAGGGGGTCAAAATCGGGGGGAGGGGAGGGGAAGAACTAAGAGGTGGAAGAGGGAGGTCACTATTAAGGGAAATCTGAGGTGGGAGCTCAGGGTTAGAATATAGTGTTAAAGATGGGGTTCTGGGGTCTAAATCAGAATTGGGGTTCAGGGATAGAGTGTGATCTAAGGTAAGAAATAAGGGTTACTGCTCAGGGATAAGAGATGGAGATTGGTTTTGAGAATCTGAAATAACAGGTGGGTTAGAGTTGGGGTTCAGATCAGTGGGGTCCCAGATGGGATCAGAGTTGGGAGCAGTAGAGCAGGACAGGGGTCAGTCTCCATTCCCCACCCCCATCTTTACTTCTGACCCTTACTCCTTCCAACTGAACTTCACTGGTTTAGTTGTTATTAGAGACCCTCAGCAGGGATTCTCCTTGTTGGAGGCAGGAGGGTTTCGGATTTCGCACCTCTTCCAGTAATTGCTAATGTCCTCGCTAGCCCCATTTCTTACTAGACCACCCTGGATGAGGGGGCAGGGTATATCTTAATCCCCTCACCCCAGCAGACAGAAAGTCCTTCTCCAAGTCTAACTCCCATTCCTCTTGCTTCAAGGACTCTTTAGCTCACTCTGTGGTCAACTTGGGAAGGAGGGAGGGGTCCTAGTTGGGGTTATGGGGATATGGACACTTAGGTTCCTAACCTGGAAGGGGACTGTGGGCTTGAGGTGGGGGAGGGAGGTTGGAATGGTTGAGTTCTCCAAGGAGACTGAGATCTGCGTATTACAGCGGCCCTCACGTGCCTGAGTTATGGGTCTGGGGTTTGAAACTGTAGGGTGGGACTCTTGGATCCCCAGACCTGCGGGGCTTGGCATGGTGCCCGGGAGGGGCCAGTCCTGGGGCTGTGGAGGTGTTAGGTGCACGTGGGGTGGGGCAGGCCGACCAGGGAGGGGTTCAGGAGTGTTGAAAGGTGGAGACCGGTGGCTAGAGGTGTCAGAAGGCAAAGACCAGGTTGGAGGTGAGGGCTCCCAGGTAGTGGGGGAATCCCAGCTGACCCCCCCCCCCCCCGGGAGACTTCAGAGTCTGGGAACATGATTTAAGGGAACCAGCTAGAAATCATTGTTGGGGTGGGCACATCTTATGTAAATTGTGGGGGTCTAAGATGAGGAGTTGTTATTTGGGGCACAGTCTGAAGTTCAGGGGACAATTTGGGAGCAGATTGTGTCAGAAATTGAGGGACAGTCTAGAGATGATCAGCATTTGGGGGCATATTTTGGAAGAGTTGACATATAGGGGGCTGGAGATGGAAATACTGTCTGAGGGTTTCCCCAGCCTTCTCCTCCCCTGGGGTCAGAACAGTGGAGAGAGAAACATTTGCACTCACTCAGCAACTGAGAACTGAGAGGTGCCCCCTACTGCTTCTCGCCCTCCACACCTCTTGCTGGGGTGATGTTGACACCCCCAGTGGAAGGAAATTGTCCCTGCTGGCCTCCAGTTCTCACAGATCAGCTGGTCCAACTGCTCCCCTGTTTTAGAGATGGAAAAGCTGAAGCCTCGCGGAGTGTTGGGGCTGCTTGAGGTCCTGAGGGGAGACTGGGACCAGAAACTAGGCTTCTGGTTTCACACTGCCTTTCTCTGCTCCCTTGTCACACCCTCCTCCAGAGACAATAAGGAAATGAAAGGGGAGAAATTTCACCCTCCTGGGGTGGGGGTGCAGGTCCCCTGAAGGCTTCCCCCCACAATCTCAGCCCCGCCCTGGCAGGGAAATCCGGCTCAGACCCGGACACTGGGGGTTCATCCCAGCCCCAGGGCGTGGGAAAGCCTACAGTGGATTAGGGCAGCTGCAGTGCTGGAGGTCAGACCTCAAGGAGGACTTCCGGGTGGGTGGGTAGCCAGAAAAAGAGGGCCCTGGGGTCCCAATCTGTCTTCCTCTGTGATACAAGAAAGAGGATTGCAGAGGGATTTAGAAACTCTCTGTAGATCCCCTGAATCCATCACCTTGTCCCCTCATCTCTTACTCTGGGAGGGGGCAAAGGCAGCTAACCATGGGGGAGCCCAGTGTGTGGGGGAGGGGGGAGCTGTAGCTTCAATTTCAATGAGATTTCTGGGGAGAGAGTAATGCTGAGGGAAGGAGGCAAATAGATACAGAGGTGTGTTGAAGGAGAAAGAGATGCCAGAGGAGTGGGGTAGAGAGAGACCGGGTGGGGGCAGGGACGGGGAGAGAGATGGGGTTAGGGAGAGGCGTGAGCAGAGAAGGGCAGAAGGGAAGACAGGACAGATGTGGAGGGGGAGAAAGACATGGGGAAGGGGCGGGCAGAGGAGTGTAGAGGTGCTAAGACGAGTCAGAGATCTGGGACATGTGAAAGAGAGAGGAGTTTCCGACTGGAACTCAGACCTGTGTTGGTTGCCACCTGTCCCTGACTCCCAGAGTGACCCTGGCAATTCCCTTTTCTCTCTGGACCTTGGGACCTGCAGACACAGTGACAGAGGTCGAGACTGGACCCACTGCCTCATAGCAGAGGTGGCTCCTGCCAGAGCTAGAGCAACACCCCAGTGCCACGAGATCCCAGCGGGGTCAGGGAGGAGCAAGCAGGGTAGCTGGCAGAAAGGATGGAAGACAGTGGAGGGGAGGAGTTCATGGACAGAGGAAGAGAGAAATCACAGTCCACCATGCTTCATATTTTCCTTATCCTACTCACTTCCTGCCGGGCTGGCAGCTCCATGAGGGCAGGCATTTCAGTCTGCTTGGTCACTGCTTTTAAAGCGTGATCCAGAACACCAGCCTGGAGCCAGCTGCCTGGATGCAGAATCCCAGTTCTGCCCCTTCCTTGCTGTGTGACCCTGACAACCTCTCTGGGACTCAGCTTGCTCGGCTGTAAAATGGGCATCATGACAGCACCTCCCCATAGTGCTGATGTAAAGATGGAAGGGGACCTTTCCTGCAGTGCTGGGAGCAGTGGCTGGCACAGAGTAGATGGCCAATAAATATTTGTCAACTGGGTCAGACTTTGTGGAAGGTTATTTAGAGAGACAGAGCAATGTCTACTGTGTTTCATTAATACACGTTTCACCCCATTTGAACGTTTTTGAGAATGGAATCGGTTTTACAGCCAGTGGCCTCTAGGGATTATAATTGACACTGGTTTTTTTCCCCCCATTCTGACTGATATTTAATATTGCAGCTTACAAACAGTGATGTCTTAGATTTGATGATATACCGTAAGTGGATGATCTGAGGTTGAAACGTGTGATTTCTGACAGTGAAACATTTTTGACTACTAAAAACTGCACTTTTGTAACCTAAAAGATGGACAGAGAGTACACATGGGAGTAGGTTATTAGATAAATCAGCAGGTCTCAATTTTGGGAGTCTCAGGACCACTTATCACTCTTAAAAATCATTGAAGACCCGAGCAGTTTTCGTTGGTGTGGGTCAGATCTCTTAATGGCTACCACATAAGGAATAAAAACTAAGAAGAGTTTAAAAGTGTACTAATTAGTTCTAAAAGAGCAATAATGTGTTTTTATTAAAATGACTATACTTCAAAACACTCAGTGAGAGGAGAGGGGCCCTGTTGCATTTTTGCAAACCTCGTTAGTGTCTGACGCCATAGAAAGCAGCCGCCTCTGCCTTCGCAGGTCAAGTGGCCTCCGGCAAACTCCCCTGCACACTCATGAGAGAATGAGAGGGAAGGCTAGTCATGAATATCTTAGCATTACATGAAGATAGTTTTGACCTCTTGGACACCCTAAACCCCAAAAAGGTCTTGGTGACTCCCCAGAGTGTCCTGAACTCCACTTTGAGAACCACTTCAAGCGTGAGCGGCAGTGTATTGGAGCATGGGGGTTGGGGGATGGAGTCAGGGTGGGGTGCATGAAGAGCGAAGAGAGAAACTTGAAGAAACAGCTGTCCAGCCTTGGCCGGTTTGGCTCAGCGGTTAGAGCATTGGCCCGCGGACCAGAGAGTCCCAGGTTTGGTTCCCGCTAAAGGCACGTACCTTGGTTGCAGTTTGTCCCCGGCCCTGGTTGGGGTCACATAGGTGGCAATGAGTCTGTCTCACACCGATGTTTCTCCCTCTCTCTTCCTCTTTCCCTCCTGCTCTATCTGAAGGTAAATGCAAAAATGTCCTCAGGTGAGGATAAAAAAATTTTTTAAAAAAAGAAACAGCTGTCTATAGAGAAAAGTAAGGATGGAAGGGACTCAGTAGTGACAAGACAGACAGATACATAGTGTGTCCAGTGACCCTGTGCTGAGCATCGAGTGGGGGTTCACTGACCCTTCCCCATCTCTTTTCTCTCCTTGCAGGTTTACTCTCCAGTGACCCCAGTGCCCACCATGGCTCCCCTCAACTCCTACATGACCCTGAACCCTCTGAGCTCTCCCTACTCCCCCGGGGGACTCCCTGCCTCCCCGCTGCCCTCAGGACCCCTGGCGCCCCCAGCCCCCACAGCGCCCCTGGGCCCCACCTTCCCAGGCCTGGGTGCCAGCAGCGGTGGAGGCAGCAGCTCGGGGTACGGGGGCCCGGGCCCAGGGCTGGTGCACGGGAAAGAGATGCCGAAAGGATACCGGCGGTCCCTGGCACACGCCAAGCCGCCCTATTCCTACATCTCGCTCATCACCATGGCCATCCAGCAGGCGCCCGGCAAGATGCTGACCCTGAGCGAGATCTACCAGTGGATCATGGACCTCTTCCCCTACTACCGGGAGAACCAGCAGCGCTGGCAGAACTCCATCCGCCACTCGCTGTCTTTCAACGACTGCTTCGTCAAGGTGGCGCGCTCCCCGGACAAGCCGGGCAAGGGCTCCTACTGGGCCCTGCACCCCAGCTCAGGGAACATGTTTGAGAACGGATGCTACCTGCGCCGCCAGAAACGCTTCAAGTTGGAGGAGAAGGTGAAGAAAGGGGGCAGCGGGACCTCCTCCACCAGGAACAGTGCAGGGTCTGCCACCTCGACCACCACCCCGGCTACCACGGTCACCTCTCCACCCCAGCCCCAGCCTCCACCCCCCGAGCCTGAGGTCCAGGGTGGGGAAGATGTGGGGGCTCTAGACTGTGGCTCACCCCCTTCCTCCACTCCCTATTTCACTGGCCTGGAGCTCCCCGGGGAGCTGAAGCTGGATGCTCCCTACAACTTCAACCACCCTTTCTCCATCAACAACCTGATGTCGGAACAGACACCAGCGCCTCCCAAACTGGACGTGGGGTTTGGGGGCTACGGGGCAGAAGGTGGGGAGCCTGGGGTCTACTACCAGGGCCTCTATTCCCGCTCTCTGCTTAACGCGTCCTAGCAGGGGGATGGGAGCATGGCGGGTGGGATGTGGCTGTTGTGGCCTGATTCTCCTGGTGACACTTTGTTTGTCCCCGCCAGTTAACGTCTTGGTTGGCCTATTACTTACTGTGGTGACTGCCGCTTCTGTGGGCATCATGTCAATCCATTGGGTACTGTGATAACTGCCTTTGACATCTTGGTGAGCCATTGGGTACTGTGAAGACCACCATGTTGATTGATACTATTGGTTGATCCACTGGGTGCTCTGATGGCCGCCATTGGGGATGACATCTTGGTTGGCCCTTTGGACACTGTGATGGACATCCTCTTGGCTGATCCTTTGGTCGTGATAGTGATGCTGTTTCCATTGCATCTTCATTGGCCCATTGGGTGCTGTGATCACTTTTTTTTGGTGGACTTCTTGGCACGGTAGGTGCCAAGTTGGCCACCATCCCACATAACATCTGTTTTGGTCCATTGGGTGCTCTGATGGCCACCAGATTGGCTGGCTGACATAATCAATGTGCCATCATGCACCATGACGGCCACCACAGTCCCTGTGTTGGCCATGTCGTCACTGTCTTTGGTGTGAGCTGAGTGAGGGGTGGAGATGAGAATATTCCTTGGTTTTCTCTGGAGCCCATTCCCCCCTCTGGTTCAGGAGAAACGAGAAGGGACCGTTAGGGTGTGGGGAATTTCTACTGAAGTCTGGTTCTTGCCTGGGAAGTGGGATACTGGCTGTGTTTGAACATTAAAGGCACCATTTCTGCCTCTTACAGAATGTCTCTTTTCCTTGGTGGGTGGGCCCTGTGGAACTTGAACACCTGAATTGCTATCTCCCTGTCTCCTCTCCTTCCTGCCCCCAAGAGCTGGCTGCCTCTGGGGGAGGGGCTGGGAGAGCCATCGACCTGACCTTTGGCTCTTTGCTGTCCCTGACCCCAAGGCCAATTTGCTCACAGATAGCAGCCCCCGCAGCAATGGGGCCAGGGCAGCAGGGGAGGTGGCTGTGCAGTGACCAAGGCCATCTCCCCACCCCCACCCCACAGACACACACCTCCAGTTCTGAGGCCCAGGGAGCCCAGGGGCTGCTCAATTTTTGGTTAAGCTGCGGAGGAGAAGACGGGGCAGACAAGGTGTTAATTGAAAGAGATCGCATGTTGGAGTCTTTGTGTGTGTGCGCGCGCGTGCACGCACACATGCTCTGGGTCATCATTATACCTATTGACATCTCATAGGGTATTGTCTATTGTTTCTGTCTCTCATTGTGTGGGTTTGTCTGTCCCTACTCTGGGTGTGTGCTTACTGTGGGTGCCTTAGGATATCAGACTCTTGTCTGTGTGTCTGTATTGTGTTGTGTGTGTGGTTCTCTGGGTCTCGCACTGTTAGGTGTGTGTCTCTGTATGTCGGTTTGTCTGCATACCCACAGCCTGGAAGGATGTGTGTGGCTACGTCCCTGTTGCCAGTGTGCCTGTCATTGTTCCATGAGTATATCTGTCTGTCTGTCTAGAAGAATGGCTGCCTGTGTTTGCATATTATGCCTGGCTTTGCTGTGTGCCTGTCACTGTTGTGTGGAGGGTCGGCTGGCCCTGCTGTGTCTGTCCATTTTGCAGGTGGGTGTGTGGGGAAGCAGCGGGGCTGCTGGGGGCCTCTGAGATTAGGGCCTGAGTGTCTCTGTTCCTCCAGGTCCCCTAGGCCCTGAACTGTTGTCTGTCACTCAGATGTTCTGAGGACATGGCTTTCTCAGAAACATAATTGTGCACTTCACGCCCCTCATTTCACAGGGTAGAAACTGAGGCCCAGAATGGGAAGGGACTGGACCAAGGTCACTAAGCCAGTCTGGAGCAGGTGGGCAGGTTGGTCTGAAATGGTCTTTTCCTTATTTCACATTTGTCTTTCTTGGTCATTGGCTCGCTATCATTCGTTCATTTATTCAATCATTCAAAGACTAAAGGATGTCTACTTAGCCATATGCATGTGATGTCTCTCCCATTCTCTGTGTCCATCTTTCTCTTTGTCTCTTTTTTTATTTAGTTTTTATTGATTTTAGAGAGAGAGGAAGGGAGAGGGAGGGAGAGATAGAAACATGGCTGAGAGAGAACATCAACTAGCTGCCTCCTGCATGCTCCCCACTGGGGATTTGGCCCACAACCTGGGCACGTGCCCTGACCGGGAATCAATCCGGCGACCTCTTGGTGCGTGGGTTGATGCTCAACCAGTGAGCCACACCGGCCGGGCTCTGTCTCTTAATGTCATCTCTCTCTGTGTCACTTGATCCCTAACTCTCTCTCTGTGCCTTTACCTCTATCTCTTGGTTTTTTGAAAATGTTCGCTCATTCCCTGCATCTGTCTCTCGTATGGTCTGCCTTGCTCTCGCTCGTTCTCTCCAGGCCTTTGCCTCTGTCCCTCCCTCTCTCTGGGCCTCTGGGTCTTTCTTGTTCTTTCTTGGGGACTTCCTTTTCGATCCTAGGGTCCACCTCCCTCCCATTCCTCCTTGGGATTTCTGGCCTCTCTCCTCCTCCTCTGGTCTCCCTCTCCCTGCTCTGAAGTTTCCGCCTCTACCTGCCACCTCGCACAGTCCCGGGCCCTCTATTTCTGTCGCTGTGCCCGCCCCGCCGGCTTCGTGTCACCCCCGCCCCCTGCCGTGCTGGCTCCCTGTCAGTCGTCCCACCAGCCACGCTGTCCTGGGCAGGCTGGGGAATTCCTCCTAGTTCCTGGAAAAAACAACTGGGGCCGAGAGAAAGGCCCTCAGTCTCCCCGGGCGCCTGCCCCCCTCCCTCCGGCCTGGGGGTCTCTCCCAGAGTCGGCCGGCCCGAGGCAGGAAGCCCTGCGGTTTCTGGCTTCTCCCAGGCGGCCTCCGGATCTGGCCCCCGCCCCCCCGGCCAACAGCCCAAATATTATTCCGCAGGAGGAGTCGGTGGCAGCGGGAGGAGGCCCAGGCTGAAAGAGGCTTTCAGGACCGCCAGGCCTGGGGCTTCCTGTCCCCAGGCTCGGGCCTCAGGCCGCCCCTGTGGGGACCTCAGGTGGCCGGAGGGGCGGGTGTTGTTGTAGGGTCCTGGGGGGAGGGTGGGGCCATCCGTCAGGGTGTCTAGTGGCCACCAGCTCGGCTGGCGTGGGCAGGTGTGACCCCCACCCCAGGGACAGCCGGCTGACGTCCAGCGTGGAAAAGTACCACGGTCAGACGTGGGACGCATGGACAGACATGAGGACGCCAGGGATCGGGGATGGAGGGATAGCCATGGGGACACGCGGAAGCCGGGGCTGGGAACACATGGACCCAGACACAGTTTGTAGGCCCAAGGTGACCTGGTCCCGGGCAAGGGTCTGTGGGTGGGAAACAGAGGGCCAAGGTGGGCTCCCTGCAGGGGGCAGAGGGCCATCTGCATCCGAAGGCAGGAGATGACAGAGGCAATGAAAATAGTCAAAGCCACGCGGGTTTGCCACGTCGGGCATTGTGTGAACACCTGACAGACTTGATTGACAGAAGCCTTCCCACCTCCTGTTTTATTATAGGTGCAACTGAGGCACGAAGAGGTGAAGTGACTTGCCCCTGGCCACACAGGTAGTAACCAGAGGGGGAACTAGGACTTGAACCCAGACAGTCTGGCAAAGAGTCAGTGCCCCTGGCCTCTGAGATGTTCTAGAGCCTGGGAGGGGCAGCCACGGCGCCCTGGGGTCCCCAGCCCTCCTGCAGTCACCCCTACTCCCACCACAATCTGCTGCGGGCGGCGCCCCGGAAGCCAGCTGTCAGGCAGTTGCAAGTGTGTGCGTGTCCGTGTCCCTGGGTTTCATCATGTGTCCTGCTGTCAGGGAGTCAGTGTCCTTGTGTCTGCAGGCTCACATGTTAGCTCCGAGATGTGTCTCTGGTCACCGTGTTAGCGTGTGTTGGGTGTATTCGTGTGTCTCTGTCGATGTCCGTCACTGCGTTTCTGTAGGTGTTGCTGTTTGTGTCACTGTGTGTGTGTATCACTGTTCTGTCACCGTCTTCTTGTGTCTGTCACTGTTCGTGTTTTGTTACCGTGTCTCTGTGCCTAACAACACGTTTGCCTGTCCTTGTGTCCTGCTGTCTATTACTGTGTCTGTCACTGCATCTGTTACAGTGTGTCTTTGTCACTGGGTTCTGTGGGTCTGTTTATGTCTCTGACACTCTGGGTCTGCCTATATCTGTCTCTGTGTGTCACTGTGTCTGTCCCTCTATGTGTCACCATCTACCCAGGTGTCACCCAGTTAGTCACTGCCCAGGCCACAGGTGGGCGTGTCAGGCCCACTGGTGCCAGAGCCGGGGCCCATCCCATCCCACCCTCGGTGAGCCAGGCTGGGCGCCTGTTTGCAATGCCTGCCCCAGGTAAACACCAAGATCCGGAACCCAAGGGCCACCTCCCTCACCTCCGCCCCAGCCCCTTAGCCTGCCCTGGACTGGGCTGGACCAGGGCCCCGGAGACAGTGCCCCCAAACTGGAGATGTGCCCTGACCCTCCCCCCACCCACAGTCACCAGCCTCCCCAAGCCCCGGCCTTGGCCCAGCCTGTCTGTCTGCTTCTCTCTCTGCGTGTGCCTCTCGGGGTGTCTGCTGGCCTCGCTCTGTTTCTTTCTGCCCCTACTTCCTCTCCCCTGGCTTTCTCTCTAGCTTTGCCTTCCTCTAGAATGACTCTCGTCTTCCTTCTCTCACTGTCTCTCTGCCTTAACTTCTCTGTCCTTTCTCAGTGAAGTTTGAATTCTCTGTTTTCCTAATCTGTCTCCACTGGGTCAGCCTACTCACTCTGCCAGTTCTAACGCTGGGTCTCTCTCTCTCTCTCTCACTTTGTAAGTCTCTCTCTCCTCTGTCGCTGTGGCCCTCTCAGTCCCAGTCTCCCAGTGTCAGCCACTCTCTGTGTGGCTCTGAGCCCCCAGCCACTATAGGAGCAGACCTCTGCCATGCCAGGTCCTTAGGGAAGAGTGTGGCCCCCAGCCTCCTGCCCCCAGCCCACTGATATATATATAAAGACATATATATATATATATATAAAGACATATGTACGTATTATTTATATCTGTACCCGGGGGCAGAAGGGCA